TATCTGAGGCCCCACACTGCTAACAAATAAAAAAAAACAAGAAAATGTGGGTACTGCAGGATCAAGATTTTTTTATTAGTCCTTTATTTATCCAGGTAAAAAAATATCATTGAGATTAAAAATCTAATTTCCAAGAGAGACCTGGCATCAAGAACTTGATGCCAGAACACTGTGACTTGGCCTACGTGCCTCAAGTAGTCAGTTACTCACTGGCAATAACATTAAAGCACACACACACACAAAAAAAAAATAGCAAAATGTTTTCGAACCAAATCTCAGAAAACTACATTGTTTTATTACCGTAAGTGCTTACGGCATGACGCTCACATATTCTCCACATTCCTGATGCACCGACTGTCTCTTTTGAGATTTTCTACACCATTACGCTCTTGCTCAAAGTTTCTCTTGCCTTCTTTCTCCTGAGGCTCTTGAGAGTTTACAGCCTTCCCTTGAGCATGTATTGTTCTCAAAAACAGGCCAATAGAATCTGTATAACAGAAAGTCTGTATAATGGTCTTTGTTATTCCTCTTGCTATCATTTGATACAGCTGTATTGATTTGTATATCCACATTAGTGTTGGCTCAAGTAAACACTGTGTAACAATGTGATGTAGTTTCCATGTATTAAATGTTTGGGTTTTTTTCTTGCCTTGAGCCGACAGACTGTTGTGTGATTTGGCAAATGGAGACCTTTCCTGACCTTTCTCTTAAATGTAACAGCCAAAGGGACGATTTATACCTGGACTGGACTTTCTGTAAAAACCAAAGAATGTGAAGATTATGTTCACTATCAAGGCCTGGACTTAATGTCTTATTTATGTTCACTTACAGTCCCAATGGTGTGAAGACTGTAATTAAAGTGTCATGGTCCTGGGTCGTTGACCCAGCATTTTGTGTTGCATTTTGGTTTCATCTTGTGTTTGGTGTTTATTCCGAATTTGTATTAGTTCTTTGGGTTTGGTTGTTGTGTTTATTATCCCTACCCGTGTCTTCCCTCTGTGCGCCGTTCGGGTCACTGCGTTTGGTGTTGTAAAACAGTCTGTGTGTTTCCGGTTTTGCTTTGTAGGCCTGCTTCTCATTATGTCCATTAGTGTCAGCTGTGTCAACCCCTGTGTGTCATCTCCTGGTGTGTATTTATAGTGTGTGTTGGCTTCTGCTTGTTGTCAGATTGTCTGTGTTTATTCTCCATGGTCCTCTGCATCTCTCTCTCTGTCTAGCCGTCCTCATCTGCCACCTCTGAGTTTCTCCCGCTGACCTTATGTCCCAGGTTTGTTTGTTAGTTTCACCCAGTTTAGGTTTATGTTCAGTTCTGCCCTCACCTCTGTTATTTTCACTGTAAATAAACTTCCCCTCGCATCTCCACCGCCGTCTGCATTTTGGGTCCTCATTTATTCTACCACATGACTGCTGCCTCAGCCGCGACATAAAGTTAGCTTAAAAATGTAGAGCACTAATGTCAAGCATCCTAGTGCTCCTAAACTCCACATGAGGTTAAGAACTAAAAGCTGAATTGCCTTCAGATTTTGTTTTCTTGGAATAAGAGATTAAACTTGGGTTGCATTGGGTTTTCTGCATTAGCAGTGGGTAAGTTGCTGTTAGATCACATTAAAACCAATTTTATCAGGTGGTGCCCATCAAGCTAAATGGGAATGTGTCCAACATAATGGAAAATGCTGGCAGTGAATTTGATTCATGGAACAATCTTAGTTTGGTTAATTCAAATCTTACCTTTATGAAACAAAAGGTAAACGAATAAAGAAAACAGGAATAAACCCTAAACCAGATTAGCAATCTGCAGGTGTTTCACACCGAGAACAAACAAGTAAATGCAGGAAGAAGTTGCTGTGTTCTGGCATACTGGATTACAATTTACATTAATTTTATGGCTGACCGTTTGTGTACGCTGCACATCTGTGGCAACCTGCTACATCCCAGAATGCAAAGCATACCTGGCAATGGGAAGGCATTTAGTCTTTTGGAATTGGACTGAGGCCACCTTCTCTAAAGGTCTTCTTGGCCCTGTGGTTTTGGTGCACACTTAAGTCCAATTATCGTCTTCACACCTGCCCACATGAATCACACCAAGGTGGAAAACAAACCAGAGGTAGATTTAAATGAGCCAGATACTACTAATGTGACACAGCCGTCGGTCCGTGAACTCCTATTATTAAACCTTAAGATGAACATTTTTTCATTACCGTTTTGATGTTTTAAAAACAGACATGGTGGAGCGAGGGCTCTGCAGAAACCATATGCTCATTGGTTAATAACTTGTCAGTTAAGAGTCAGTGAGCATATCACTGACAATTAGGGTGATCAAAATATACAAAATGGATCATTTCTTAATCAGTATGACCAAAAATGAGTCACTGAAACCATGAATTTGTGAGAGAATTCTGTTGCTATTGCCCCCTGGTGGCCTTTAAAAAGAATTCAGGCTTACAGGCACTTCTGCATTAGCTTCTCTTTTGAGAGCTACGCCCATCTTTTATATACAGTCTTGGTATTGAAACGCAAACTTGCTGGTTGAAACTTCTCAAGTATATATAGATTTTTTTCTCAGCAGCTTTGTTTGATGAAGTTCGCCAAATAATATACTAAACATTTGGATACTTAGGCATTTATTAATGCTCTTTCTGCTGTGCCTGGATTGTGTCCAGTGCTATGTAATTTATTTATTTATTTTCATCTGTGGTGAGATGAAATAAAACTATTTTCACCTCACATGCAAATATACAATAAGTGCTCTTTTTCTTTGCAAACTAGAATGTAAAAATAAATAAATACATAGTAAATCTGAAGAGTACTCACTCCGATGCACAATAGCAGTCACTTCTACTCATAATACACATAATAGTCAGATACAGCAGGAATTCACTGTTAGTGAAAACCAGAGATGGGCAGTAACGCGTTACTTGTAACGCATTACTGTAATCTGATTACTTTTTTCAAGTAACGAGTAAAGTAAGGGATTACTATTGCAAAAACGGTAATTAGATTACCGTTACTTTCCCGTAGGAATGCTGCGTTACTGCGTTACTAAAACCGTGATTTTTTGGAGAATGTCTCACGACAGTGACGTAAGCGAGTGCGCCGTTAGTGACAACAGCTGTGTGCAGATCAACAATGGATCACATATCGATTGTGGGAGAGAGTATGAGCGTGCAGCGTTTAAAGCGTGGAAGTACTGACCTTACTTTGAGTTTGATTCCATAAAAAGTGACAAAAACATTAGCGTCCATCGTGCGTGGGAAGAAAACTTCTTTTTACAGCGAAAAAAACCCCTAAACTTCCAAGCAAGCACCGAGTGCGCAACGACGTAATGGGAAATTCACAGAGAAACTCGCGGATTCTTCAACTGACCGCGGCACACCTGCACCAGGGTAAACCTCCGCCTACCGCAGTCCTGCTTTACAGGTGAAAATAGAGCAACAGGACCGCTGAGTCTTTGACTTTATTTATTTTCTGCTGTGTTTTACTTGCATCTATTTGAAAGAGTGAGTGTAAACACAAAAAATATTTTATTTTATGTGCTGGAATGTGTAGAAAATAGGTTTAAATGTTAAACTAATTTATTCAAGTCAGAGAATGTTGCATATAATTAAATTTTTGCTTGATGCATAAAGTTAAAAGATTAAAACTATAAAACAAGTTAAAAAAAGAGACTTTTCCATTTGATTACATTTTGTATGATGGATTATGCAGAAAAAGTAGAATTGGGCTGAAAGATCTATCGCTTTATCACCTCTTCAGGTTGTAAATCGTGTTTTTAAAAAGTAACTAAGTAACTAAGTAATTAATTACTTTTGAAAATAAGTAATCAGTAAAGTAACGGATTACTTTTTGGGGAAGTAATCAGTAATTAGTTACTGATTACTTTTTTCAAGTAACTTGACCAACACTGGTGAAAACACGTAGGACGAGACTGTCAGCAGTAAGAAAGAGTCTGCTGCGTTCTGACAAAAGATCTAAAGATTCTTTACCACTGTGGATTACACAATGGAGGAAACGTGGCATGCAAGTGACACTGGCTTGTTCATTCCTAGAAAAAATTCATTTCGAAAGATTTTTGTGCAACTTTCTGAAGGTTAATTTTTGTTTTCTTTGAAGCTTCGATGAGCTGATGTGGGAACTTCAAAAATGTGCAAAAAATGAGACAAAATTGAGACTACAAGGTGAACTCACAGAAGATCCTTTTTTCCATTTGTCTTTTGGAGTAATAGCTCACATTTTGAGTAATCTATTTTGTAGAAACGGGTACAGAATTGGTTGTTTATCCCCTCAGTGGCTACTTTTTGATGAACGGGAAAAGAAGAGGTGAATTTGATACACAAGTTGATCCAAAAAACTGGCAATTATATCGTAACTACTCTTTTTCTCGTTCAGCTGCATGTTGAACAGCTGTGAGGACCACTCTTGTGGCTCTTAATGTAGTGCACGAATAATAGCAGGTTCCAGTGATATTTAAAGTTTATGTTGCCAAGCGCGTGTCCTCGAAACTCCACACGATAGTGTGTCTTTGAAGGTTGTGCGACTGTATGATGAACGACATTGTCGTGTCACATGCATGTGGCATTAAGGCAGGTGACTCTCTGACTTTCAGGTTACTTGCGCACAAGGTTGTTCTGAAGTGGAATCAATATAAGAGAAAAAAGATTCATAATAAAACACTGCCTTCAAGAAATCGTCTTTTATTGTGTCTGACAATCGGTGTTTATGTTTGTGTGTAGGGTTTGTGCATGATACAGAGAGTGCGATGTGAGGAAGAAAATGTTCCAGATGATCTGAAGAAATAAATACATTCATGCATAAAATAAAGACACTTCAATTTTTTTTAACAATTTATTTCCATGCTCTGAATTTTCTTGTCCGTGGAACACCCCTCCACCCCCACCCTCTTCATGGTGTCTGCACCAAGGACCAGAACCAAACACAGCGCCACGTTTATACGTGAGCTGCGTCAGGAAGCTTCTTGGAGAGATGAGGCGCACTGACAAAATCTCAGAGCAACACAACAAGCTCGTGAAGAACTGTGTCGCCTGTGCGCACAGAAACATTTTATATGTTTTTGTTTCGCAGAAAACTCGCACATAGAGCCAAATACAAAGATTATTTCAGTGGTGCGAGTCATTTGGATCTGATCATGACTTAAACACTCTCGTGGATAAAAGTTAATTAAAAAATGTCTGGAGAATTTAGCGACACTGCTTATGAAGGCTCGCCAGGGATTGTCTATGCTGCTTCCTTTAACTTGAGCTATGTTTTCAACACGACCAACAGCTCGTACGAGGACTACCTCCACCTGCCAGACTCTGAGAAAGCTGACTCTGTGGGAGATGGAGCCGCTGTTGTAAGGATTATCATCTCGATCATTTACTCTCTGGTTTGCGCGCTGGGTCTGGTTGGAAACTTGCTGGTCTTGTACTTAATGAAGTCTAAACATGTGTGGAAAAAATCCTCCATCAACCTTTTCGTAACTAGTTTGGCGGTGACTGACTTCCAGTTCGTCCTGACTCTGCCCTTCTGGGCTGTGGAAAACGCTTTGGACTTCACTTGGCTTTTCGGCAAAGCGATGTGCAAGATAGTGTCCTATGTGACGGCAATGAACATGTACGCCAGCGTTTTTTTCCTGACCGCCATGAGCGTGGCGAGGTACTGGTCACTCGCGTCTGCCCTGAAAGGCAGGCGGAGGCGGGCTCACTGCTGTTCCGCGCGGTCCATCACCGTTATCATCTGGGTTTCCGCTGTCTCCGCCGCTCTGCCGCACGCGGTTTTCTCCACGACGGTGACAGTTTCCAACGAGGACCTGTGCCTCGTCAAATTCCCGGAAACCAACGGATCGGCGCAGTTTTGGCTCGCGCTCTATCACTCTCAAAAAGTGTTGCTTGGCTTCGTGGTGCCTCTGGGCATCATCTCAGCCTGCTACCTGCTCCTTTTGCGCTTCATCACCTCCAAAAACATCAACACCTCGAGCGCCAAGCGACGCGCCAAAGTCACAAAGTCCGTCACCATAGTGGTCTTGTCCTTCTTTCTTTGCTGGCTGCCCAACCAGGCTCTCACAGCCTGGGGCATCCTCGTGAAACTCAACGTGGTTCACTTCAGTTACGAGTACTACAGCATGCAAGTGTACGTGTTCCCCGTGTCCGTGTGCCTTGCGCACTCCAACAGCTGCCTGAATCCCATCCTGTACTGTCTTATGAGGCGGGAGTTCAGAAAAGCGCTGAAAAAACTCTTCTGGCGGATGACATCGCCGACTCTGACCACCTTAAGACCGATCACAGCCACCACAAAGCCGGAGGCGGACGAGCAAGGGCAGGTCCTGGTCCCCGTGTGCGCACCCGAGGAGCCCGCAGTGGTGTTTTATCCTCCCGGGGAAGTGATTTACAATGACAGGCGAGACCTACCCCAGAACAGCGCTTAATCTAAGGCACGTTTTAAATCCTCTATGATGTTGTATTCATACACATTTACATCAATCAGGTCAGTTTTGTTTGCCTCACAGCTGTCCAAGTTGGAGGAGGAAAAACGTCAAACAGAAGCGCTTATGACTCATGTTTGTCCACAGAAATGCTACTTTGGCTTCACCCTGGTTGAGATTTTAAAAAGCCAACTTACTGGCATTCTTACCTATAAGAAAATACGCATATTTTAATAAGGTGTCAAAACATATATTAAATGTGCAGGTAAGGTGCATCAACAAAATGTGAGACATTTGCTCATCTTCGCCCCGTCCTTATCTTGAATGACATTTAGTTGTTAAATGCCACTATAATGTTACAGAGAATGTTTCACAGACCTGTGCAGATTGTGTGTGTGTGTGTGTGTGTGTGTGTGTGTGTGTGTGTGTG